GAGGAATTATCCCAATCAATGCAATGCTTATTATCTCTCATATGAATGAACAGAGCATTGGATTCCTGGCCTGTTCTAACACTATATTTATGCTGTTTAAGTCTAGTTATAAGATCTTGACCCGTCTGGCCTAAGTAGAACATATTACATTCCTTGCAAGGAACCTTGTAAATGCAGCTGCCTGCATTGTTGGGGGAAGTTCTTAATTAACATTTGTTTTACAGTGCATGAGTTTATAAATGCCACATTAACGTTCCAGGCTTTCAGTTGTATAGGAATTTGAGAGAAATTTTTGTTAAATGGTAATACTAAGAGATTCTTATTGTCATGGGTGGGCTTAGGATTAGTTCTATAAAAAGATTTCTTAGTAATGTTAAGGCATTTGTCTATAAAAGACCTAGGGTACTTAAGGTTCAAACCAATATTATAGATATACAAGTATTTATATTCCTCATCAATGAATTCTGGACTGCCTATTCTTAGAGCACGTAAAAACATTGATGAAAATACTGACTGTTTGACTCTATTATGGTGGGCAGAATAATAATGAATGTATGAACACAAATAAGTAGATTTCCTATAAATACTGAACTTAAAGGTGTTACCTATTCTGTGGATCAGACAGTCTAGGAATGGTAATTTGCTGTCATTCTCTAATTCCACAGTGAATTTGATCAAGGGGGCTAAGTTGTTAAGTTGTGGTAGAAAAGCTCTTAGGTCCTCATTACATGGCCAAAGACATATTACATCATATACATATCTCAACCAGACTGCTGAAGGTGGTAAAATATTACTTAATAGTTTCTTCTCAAAGAATTCCATATACAGTATTACCCCGCTTTACGCGGTTTCACTTTCCGCGGTGCATCTACTCATATACGTGGGAAGCGGCACGGGCAGGATGCACACAAGGTCGCCCAGTCATCAAAACATTACCGAGTTCTTCACCCGCCACCCACCACAGCCGGCCTAAGTCAGTGATAGTGAGGATATGGACTTATATGGACTTTGAGGGGTTTGACAAAGAGGCCCTGCAACCCTCTGTGGTGGATAGTGATGCAATTGATACATGTGAGGGCCAATAATCTGCCCTCTGTCTTGGAACCAACCCCCCATCCCCGTGTGCCCAGCCATCTTTTCTACTTATGTAAGTGTTAAAAAAACTAATATTATTAATATTTCTCTTAATTATTAATTGTGAGTGCATACCATCATAAAATTAAGATGTAATTTTTACTACAACGTAGGTATTGTGTCTCAAAAAGTGGAGTTTGGGGATCGGGCCAGTCTCTATTGGAATTAATCCCATATGTTCTGTTGTTCCATTTACGCGGATTTCACTTTCCGCGGTACCCTGTGGGTTCAATTGACCACGTAAATCGGGGTACTACTGTAGTATAAGTTGCTTAATACTGGTGAAAGCGGATTACCCATTGCCATACCAAATTTGTTAGCATAGTATTCTCCATTGAATTCAAATTTACAATCCTTAATACATAGTTTGATGAGTTCGATGAAGTTATCTTTCGAGACGGGCAATGAAATATTATCCAGGGAATCTGTGAGGAACTCCAGTATATCATCAACTGGAACCTTTGTAAAGAGTGATGTTACATCAAAAATGACCAGTTTTAAATTATAACCAATGTTTAAGTTATTGAGTTTATCAACCAGATCCATATTATTCTTAATATTACTTAGAAATGTTGCCAACGAGGGGATTTAGTAAAGAAACTAACCATTTAGATAACTTATAAGAGATTGACCCAACTGATCTAATGATGGGTCTTGCTGGGTTATTAGGCTTGTGAGTCTTGATTAGACCGTACATGTATGGCAGTGGAGGGGACGTTGAAGTAAAATGTTTAATGAGATTAGCTTTACCTCTCAATAGAGACTTAAGTTTTTTGTTAAACTGAGTGTTAACTGTGTTGAGAGGATTATTTATGAGCTTAGAATATGTTGCAACATCACATAAAAGGTCATTCATTTTAGAAAAATAATCATCTTTGTTTAAAATCACTACTGGGTTGGCTTTATCTGCTTTAGTAACATGTAGATCTTATTTTTCTCATTAAACATACCAAATCTGTGAACATGAATTTGAGAAATGGCATGTACAAACTGGATAATTTTGTGATTAAGAAGATTTGTAACCAGGTGAGGGAGTTAGGTCATCTTACCCCATGACCTGGCTACAGACTGCTGCTGTGCTTAGAGATGGCATGGTCGATTTCTTTGGATTAAGAAGATTAGTAAGGGTCACTGCCTTATGACCAGAACATTGTGGACCCCTGCATTCCTCTAGGGACTTGATCTCACTCTCCTCTCCTGTATATATTAGCCTTCTCAAGTATTTCTCCTTAGTTTGTGTGTATATATATATATATATATATATATATATATATATATATATATATATATATATACAGGTGTCTCCAGTTTCAAACATAACACTAACGCCATTACAAGCATAACTCCAGCTGTGCTTGAACGTGTTCTTCAGCAGTGGAGGACACACAAAGAGTAACAGAATGGTAGTTGTAGAGCATATTATATAAATAAAAATGGATTTTCATATAAAATTTTCCTATGTATGGAAATTTATATATATATATATATATATATATATATATATATATATATATATATATATATATATATATATATATATATGTAATAGTATAACTCGGGAAATGCCGAGATATATAAAATCATCTGGGAAAATCTCAGCTTATCTGGCTACCTGCATCACCTACCACGCCTCTGTCACCTACAGAGCATGCAGTATGGTACAAATTATGGACTGGTACAGTTATGAGGGTGATAAAAGTTTGGTTCGATATTTTTTTCAAAGTTCGGTAAGGTACGAAGGTACGATTAATTTTTCGTACCTTTATTGAACCATTTCAAACCAAGCCACTCCCTTGAAATGTTGGATGGCCACGTGGCCAGGACAATTGCTTGGGCGATGCAGGTGTGCTCCAACCTTCAGGTCAGGTCAGATCCGGCGACACTTAGTGAGCCAGTGAGACCCACAAAATTACACTGCCCCAGGGGGGGATGCCCCTGCCAGCTGACACACGCATAATGACACATTCTCATTCCCGAGTCTGACGTCATACGATGCACAGTCAGTCAGGCTGACTCCTGCAGTGTTCAAGGCTTCTGTTTTTAAAGGTAAGAGCCACAAAAGTTTTCCTTTATTTATATATTCTGATCAGTGTAATAATGTCATAAACAGCAATAACAATAATAATAATGCTAATGAATAATAATAATACTTATCATGATCATTATTCTCATTAAGTTAAATGTGTAATTTAGCATTAGTATGTAAGAATATTAAATATTATTATGTTAAGAATAAAATACTAAAGTTAATAGTATAATTATTTTGTGTTTTGTTACACCTTAAATTGGCTACATTTTGTTTGGAGGTACGAAATCAGGTACGAAATAATGGTACAATATATTATCGTACCAGTACAGTACGAAGATATAATTGAGGTACAGTACAAAATTACGGTACTGTATTTTTCCTTTGGTACGAATTATGATAAATCAATCATACCATACCGAACTGCATGCTCTGCCTACCATGCCTCTGTGTCACCTACCATGCATCTGTCTCCTACTATGATGCTTTATTCATAGCCTGCAGTGCTGGTAAGTGTTACTTTTTTACATTTAGTAATTACTTGTACACATACAGTACATGGGTCAATAATTTTTATTGTTTTTTTTTTTGAAGGAGAGGGAAGTGCCTTGATAAGATAGAATTTGGGATAACTCTGCAAGGACAGTGACCCCTCGGTTAACGAACTCAATCCGTTCCAGAAGGTCGTTCGTTAACCGAAACCATTGTTTCAATGGGTTTTTGGGTAATTGGTTCCAGCTCACCGAAAATTTCCTAGATTCAACAAAAATGGTAGAAAAGTTCACTTACTTTGAGGTGTGTATGTAGAAGGCTCCTGGATGATGATGATGATGATGATGGGATTTAGAATGGGGGTGGAGGAGAAGGAAGAAGAGAAGGCATTGGGATGGAAGAGAAGTCACCCCATGGCGCCATTTCACCCATAAAATTTTAGCTCTCTTGGTGTAATTCAAGATTATTTTCTTTAAATCAACACTGCACTGCATTATATATTGTCAATATGTAAAATATATTTCAAAATGACCAATAATTTGCTTGGAAACACAGAAAAAAATCATTTAGTTGAAGAGGCTCAAGCAAGATGTTACTTCCAGTGAAAACAGAGAGACTAATGCCTGTTTGCTGTGTTAAGAGGCTGGATGCCGCGCATTAAACTAGTCACTTTACCTTCAATTATGTTCAATAATTGTTAAAATGACTAAAAAATTGAATATTAAACTTTTAAAATTATTGAATAGTATAAACTTCTTGATATTTACTAATATAGTAAGGAATTTAAGCCCTAGAACCGATTAATGTATTGGCGGACAAGCTGATTTGGATATTCAGAATCGATTAACCCGAATTTTGTTGTGAACAAAAATTTCGTTAACTTGGCGTTAGATAAGCGGTCACTGTGTATATATATATATATATATATATATATATATATATATATATATATATATATATATATATATATATATATATATATATATATACCTGTAGAGAGAGAGAGAGAGAGAGAGAGAGACTAATAATAAAAACACCACTTTCATCACCTTGGGTTTTTAATACCGTACACCTTTAATACTTGCCAATATTATTCATTCCCTTTATTTGTAATTCCTGCATTATCCCTCTAATATTTTTTACCCTTTTACTGCATCCATGACTCACAAATTTTACGTTTCTCTCAAACCTACTAATTATTTACAAATCATTCTGCTGTTGCTGCCCCAAAACATCTTAACTGTCAACCTTCCATACAGCATTTACTTCAGATCTACTGCTTCATAAACTTAAAGCAGATTGATGTACTGTGCAGTATATTCCTGAAACATTTTGATTATTTTCTCACCTTAATTTTTTCCAAAATCTGAGCTGCTCCTTGTACCTGAACTCCCTCAAATGACATTAACGAGAGCTCCGCCTGAAAAATGTTCACAATGTAAGTCTGGGGGTTGAAATCATAATGAGGTTCTCAATATAAAATTGGGAGAATAGGAATAAATCAGTAGATTACTAACTGGTATTGTACTTCTTTTAGAAAAAAAAAAGTAAGAAATTTCAATTTATGACTAGGAGGAAGAAACAATTGATCTGAGAGACCCTTACGTGTAAAATACCATCTGGCTTAGCTTGAGTTTGCCAAACAGCTTGGCATTTTAAAAGTATGAACTATACATGCATATACAGTTTTTGCTACAAGCATGTTTTTACTCACCAAATAAAAATTTCAATCTTACTTTCTCTAGAACCAGTGAGGCTTCAAGTCATTAGACCAAAATTCTGCACGAGATTCACACATTTGGAACCCCTTTGACCATAAACAAAAATTCTAAATTTCTAAAGACTTTTCATTTAATTTTCTGTCAATTAAAATTATCATCTAAGAGAGGAACAAAGAAAACCAGGTCACCCTCACTTATAAGAGAAAGACTGTAGTTTGATACAGTACAGTATTGTTTTCCATTTTATGACTGAGAGAACGAATTAAGAGACCATGATATGCTGACCATTAAAAGGCAGAGAGGGCACATTGTTTGCTGATTGGTAAATTATCTAAGCTACTAAGCAGCCAGAAAATGTTTTTGCTACAAAAGCCTTTATCAACAAATTGATTTGGGGTTGTAGAAATCCCAATTTGGACAACTGCTTGATTCAGGATCAGCAATAAACTTGGGGTTATGGAGTCAAGTACAGTACATACTCAATTTTTGTCAGCTCACACACTGAATACCCTCATTTGGCCAGAAATGAGGGACTGATTCTGAATACGTACTAAATTCACAATGGAGCTAATGAGGAGAAAAACTGAGACTATGCAAACTTAAGGCTTACAGGGTTTCCCCAGTAAAGTGAAACCAGACAGCTACAGCACAAAATGAGAGATCAGAGGCCACAGCTGTACAGAAAGCTTTGGAATACAATGACTTCTGATGCCCCACGATTCATATTTAAGCCACTGCCCAAATCACACCTCATTTCACAGGCATAAACCAGGTTTGCGATACCCACTAACTCCAGCCAACCTAAAAGGATATCCCAGGAAGTGAATGGAATCCAGTCCAAACTGCCTACAGGTATGCTGGAAAGTGGTTTTTACAATCAAGCTCTCGTATAGAACTTGGCATCCGTTCAGAAAGACCCATGAATTGGAAGCCCAATGTCAAATATGGAGGTGGAAAGGAGCTTCAAGTGTCATGCAACAAGCACCCCACTGGAAGTTTGCTTTCCTTATTAGAAGGAAGCACCTTGCAATCCCCTTTTGTCTAAGTAAAATTCTGGAAGCTACTGTCTAGAATTGAATTTCAGGAGCCAAACCCCCTACCAGGAAGATTCCTAACAAAATAGGAATGGTCAATAATTAATCCATTATTTGGAGTTTTGGTAAGCATAAATGACAGGGGTGTCATTACACTTGACCTATGAAAGAATACAGGGTACTTATGATTAACAAATTAACAAAAACCATTAATAAACTAAACTACCGGTACATCTGATTTTACCAGCAACTGGTTTGTTTCTGCTAAAATCTGATATACAGGTACAGTAGTTCATTGACAGTTTGTCAGTGTTCAGGCACCAATGGCATGAAGGCCATGGCATACTTGCCGCTTCTAAAGTATATAAAAAAAATACAATTCTTTTGCAGTTTTGAATCAGATACACTAAAATGCAAGTCCAGTAAAAGCAAAGAAATTTAAAGAACGTTTTGAGGCAAATGGGAATTCATTAACGTGCTTCATTTTAAGTTAGGTTAGGAGGTTAGGCACACTTTTGGTGTGAATACCATTAGTATGTTTGTTTTGTGGCGTACTGCACACATTAGTACTGGTCTATAATCTCTTATGATGCACATTACAGCTGTATAACAAACAAACTGACAGTTCTAAGGGAGTAGCGTCTAAGTTTCCTATGGTGTAGCACCACAGTAAATGGTAAGCACTTTGAAGGGGTAATTTGTATGCTGTATGTTGTTTTGTATGAATTATACCAGCGCCACGCACATATCTTAAGGGTGCTACTATAGTATGTGGTCTACTGAGCTGGAGTTGTGTCTACCATGATATTTTACACTGTATATACACCTAACCTAACGTAGGTTAAGCTAAGTCAGGTTAGGTTAAGATATACTGTATTAGATTAAATTAGGTTAGATAGTAGGCAGCTATCAAACAGGGAGGTACTGTACTACCACTTGGGAAGATATTGGAAGCGTAATGTATTGTCTAATGGTAAACCCTGCTGCCATTTGGCATCACAAGAATTGTGACCAAGTCCCAGGTTGCTGATCTGACTTTTTGCCTCATTTAAACACAATTGCAGGGTTTCAATTGTTTTTCTTGCTATTGACAACAGAACATACATACTGTATATCGTTTCTCACTCTTGACTTTTTTTTTAATTTTTGTATTTACAGTATTTATGGTCACTATTGTTTTTATATGTGGGTCAGTGACCTGTGCCTAGGTGGGCAAACTCTCTGTAAAAAAAAAAAAAAATTATTTGGGGTTAATAAACGCTACAGTGTAAATATCCCGGTACACCAACTCCAGCTCGGTAGATCGCATCGACTCGGTAGACCACATACTAGAGTAGCACCATCTTAAGTCTGTATATAGATAGTACAGTATGAAGGGAGGATTCAAGGTACCTATACAGTATGATGGCTGGGAAGGCCCAATTGGTACAGTACATAATAGTGTAATACCTGTACTGTGAATAAGTGTAACCGTGTCTGATGGTTCTGGTATTTACATCTGTGTAAGATTAATAAACACAGCTACAGTATCTCATGGGACAGATGAACATATACAAAGTACAATGAACTGAGAAAATTATAAGAATATCAGACCTTTGTGAAGTGTTGGGGTTGACCAATAAACTATGGTATTGTAAGGGGAAAATATCTAATTTTCGTATGGGTGAGGTTAATACACATAGTTACCTCATTTGACAGATAGCCATGGATCACGACATGATTTGAGAATCGTATAAAAGAGGGAAACAATTGCAAGGTGTTGGGGGATGGCGCATACAAGGGAATAAAGTGAAGTGGATACACCATACCAAGCCAAAAGCCGAAGGCTTCTGTCCATTCTGGCACCTAAAACCACATGTCCTTCAGTTTTGAGGTAATGAGGTGTGCAAAGGAATCTACCAGAGCCTTACAACTCATACACTGATTGTTTTATGTAATTTAGAATTAAGATATGTAATTATAAGGCATGAGATCACAATACCTAAGAAACTGTATGTGTGGGTGCCAGAATAAAGACTGATTTGTAAGCATTGGCACCCGTAGGCCTAGGTCAAGGCACTGACATGGGCGTACGGTCTCAGTAACACAGGATTCTTCGTACAGACAGGTCAGTGCCAGTCGGGGTTAGGCCAGAGTACTTAAAGAGGCATATTTAGTTTTATATACAGTTCAAAGACTTGCATAATGTTATAGCTGACATAGTAAGTTATTAAATATTTTTTTTATTTTTGTGGGATTGTACAAAGGCCAATAGGGCCAGTAAACATAATTGTACTGTACTGCATTTGTTTATGCTCGGTAATGCGGAACTCTTCATATGGACAGGTACAAGCCGTGTGAGCCTGTGTAAATGGGTGAGCAGTAAAGACCATGGAGGGAGATGTGATATCAGAGGGAATGCCAGGCTCAGAAACCACTGTTGTGTGTGAGGAGCCCAGCGGGTGTCGTGGGTAATGCCCGTGGCCACTTTGCAACCTCCCCTAAGGATTTCTGGGTATCTCACATTTTCAGTACCCTGGGTGTGAAGATGTGTTGCTGTCGCTACTTTTAGTGACCTAATGATAAAGGATGCAGGTATAGTCCTGGTATGATTGACTGTTAAGTATCTCATCTACCTTGCAAAAGTAGAAAGTGAGAAAGGTACCTGCTGTGTTTTAGCATGATGCTGAGTAAGCTACATTACCTGTATATATTATTTATTGTTCCTTTTATTTGGGTTAGGTTATATTGTGATTGAGTGACCTAAGTTGAGATGGTCAGTTATTTTTGTAAGATGAAGAAGGGACCTTGAGGATTTGAGGTCGGTGATTTTGGATGGTGAAATGGCCTTAATTGCTTGGGAACGTCAAATATTTTTGTATTGCGACTGAGAGTAGTAACATTAATATATCTAAATAAAGACCATTTATATTAATAAGCTCAGTCACAACTGCTAGATTTCTTTGCCAGCTACCAAAAGAAAAAAAAATTCTTGTTCTACACCATATATATACCAGGGGCAACTGTCTGGAGGACTGGTATCAGCAACCAAAGTTTAAGGAGTAGATTAAGTAAAAATTAGAAAGTAAGTAAAGTTAATTAAGTGACCAAAGGAAACCGCAGTATAGTGGCAGTCCATCCTGGTGGGATGTAGGCCTAGTCACATGGGTTTAAGATGTCATTCTCCGATAACAATATCAACATCTGACACTTAGTGTTTTAATCTCGTCCTTTCTCTCATCTTCAAAGCCCTGCCCACTTCTTTTTATTTAATCATTTCACCGCTTACCAGCTTACTCGCCATTTGGGCCAACAATAAAGGTCTTATTCTTTTAAATTACCTTCATAAACATAAGTAAAACATTTTTGAGTACAGTATTTTCCGATTGGGTACTCCACTAAATTTTTACCGACAGTAATTAAAGGCATTCTTACTTTGAGAAAATGACAAAAAGTGCATTTTATATAATACAGGTATCAAACCTTTTTCACCCAAGCAGAGGAAGACACCCAAACACAACTATACCATGCTTAGACTCTAAGAAAGGTTCGTTTTGCAAAAAGGCATTTTATTTTAGAAGAATAAAATACAAAATAACAGTACAGTACCTAGTAAAAAGTATATAAATTGCATTCCTCCAGCATATTTGTCTGTTTCTTAAGGCAAGAAAATGGTAAATATTTAG